ATGTGATACTTATCTTTCTCTGACTGACTTATTTCGCTTAGCATGATACTCTCCTGGTCCCTCCATGCTGTCTCAAAGGGTAAGAGAGTCTTCTTTTGTATTGCTGCATAGTATTCTGTGGTATAAATGTACCACAGCTTTTTTATCCACTCATCTACTGATGGGCTCTTGGGCTGTTTCCAGATCTTAGCTATTGTAATTGTGCTGCTATGAACACAGGGGTGCATACATTCTTTCTGATTTGTATTTCAGGTTTCTTAGGATATATTCCTAGAAGTGGGATCACAGGGTCAAATGGCAGTTCCATATTTAATTTTTTTGAGGAAACTCTATACTGTTTTCCATACTGGCTGCACCAGTCTGCATTCCCACCAGCAGTGTACTAGGGTTCCCAAGGCAATTTGTTATTTAAAAGGACTCAAAGATTATCATTTTAATAAAGATAAAAATTAAAACTCCATTTGTTTTACATATGAAAGTGGTATGTTTTTAAGTGGACAACACTGTTTACAGTATACTTATACATATAAGCTTATATGTATATTATACATAGTAGTATACTTATATATTGTATATACTTATACTTTTACTATTGCCTATTTTCTGCATGTTTCTATTTCTCATTTCTCCTACCCAGTCTAATTTTGAGAAAAAATCATTTTTCCACTACATAATTTTTCCACTGATGGATTCTGATTGCCAGAAGTAATAGTCCTAAGTCTCGATGTGAAGTATGCTTAACCCTCTCTGCCCACAAAACTTCTGCTTCTTTCTTTTCAGCTTTTCTTATCAAGACACCAGAGACTCCACTCTAGAGTTTTGCTAATACCCAAGAGAGAACAAAGTTATGACACAGCTATTGTCAGTTCAACTCTGCAGGAAGCAATATCCCTAAACAAGTCTGTTTCTCCCTATCGCACTAATATATACATACATAGTTGTACATATAAGATATATTTGTATCTATGTGTACAAATATATCGCACATACGTACACACTTATTTTTTTTCAACAACACAGCTTTCTAAGTAGAATGGAACCTATAAAATGAGACCTTCAATTCTTCTAGAAACCTGGATTGTGATATGGAAAGGTGGGCCTGGAGTTAACTTTTGCCCCAAATGCAGAGAAAAGTTAAATGTCTCTGCATAATAAAATAAAATAAAAAGATTTGGATTTTTGGGGGGCAATCAGAAAGGAGAGAAAGAAGGGAGAAAGGCACAGAACCAATCAGATTATATGAGCCTGGAGTTCCCCTGTGATGGTGGCCAAATGTACTTTAAAGATTTTAGAGATGCCTAATATTCAACATCAACACTCCTGGTATTGCTATAGCATAAACCACTTCTCTGACTTCCTTTTACCCAAATCTTCCAGAAAGCGTACCAAACCCACAAAGGCTTTACTTTTTTTCTTTCCATTCTTTCCTAGCTCCTGTTGGATACATCTGTCCAACAACTTCATAAGACATCTCAACCATCCATTAGCAGCTGACTAGGTTGGTCCAAAACTAATTTATCTTCCCTTCCCCACTCCTACCACCAATTGTTTTTAACTGCTCCTTCTCATATCGTCTAACATTCCATTAGCTCATTAATGTCGTCATCACTAAAGAAACAACTAATATTTATTGAGCACTTGTAATGTACTAGGTACTCTGCCAAGGGCATTATGTGCTTAATTTCATTTGATCTTCAAAACCTACTAGACAGGTACTATGATCATTTCTGAAACATTAGGAAACTAACACTCAGTCAGGATGGTAATTGTGAGGGTAAGTAATAGAATTTAACCCTTGTTCTGACTCCACAGCAAGCTTAACCAGTACACTCCAATGCCACCAGTCAAAAAACCTAGGAACGATCCCTCTCTCATTAATCATATCCAGTCACTTACCTAATCCAACCAATTATACATCCTAAAAGACACATCATTTGTACTTCCACTGCCTGCACACAAGTCCTAACCACGTGCCAAACATTATTCTAAGTAATATAGATGTTTTTCCAAGTTTCATCCCCCAAACCCTATGAAATGAAGAACCTAAGGAAAAAAAGAGGGTACATAGTGAGTGACACAGCCAGATTCAAACCCAGATAATTATGAATCGAGAAGCCCTGAGCACTTACCACCTATAGTGTAACAGCTCCTATTTTGTCTCCCTAACCCCCATCTGGACCTCACTATTCTCCACTGCTGCAGATATCTTCCTGGAATGCAAATGTCATTATGACATTCTCCTGGTCCAATTTTCTTAATTTGGCAGACAGAATCCTTCATGTTTCTGTTCAATTCAGTTCAGTAAATATTTGAGTGCCTGCTGTGAGCAAGACAAAGTGCTAAGTGCTCTGAAATGAGTAATACATCAGCCCCTGACTACCACACCAGCCCCTGACTACCACACCAACCCCACACACTGTGTGCTTCAACCAGATTAACTATACGCAGATCTCATAATGCAACACCCTATATGTTAGTCCCTCTGCTCACAATGTACCTGGCAAAATTCCACACCAATCTGAAGTGGGGTTTTGACTATGTGAGGCCTTCCCTAACAAACTCCAAGCAGAAATGCTTCCTTTTAAGTTCCCACAGCACTTTGCTCAAATTACTTTCAGGCAGCCAGTGAAATAGAGGTATGGATCAGCTTCCAAATGAGACTATAGCAAAAGCTGACTCCTGCCATCAATGCCTGGCATGCAGTAGGCACTCTACCATTTGCTGAATGAATAAATAATGAAAAATATCTAACTTGATGAGGAAAGGAGAGGAACAAGATACAGAATTAGGAATGTTAACACACAAGTGGGCCAAATTAAAAGTAGTGTGATTCTACTTTGGTTCTGATTTCACCTACTTTTTACCCCTATGGGAAAACTCACATGTGTGACTTGGACAAACTAAAAAGGCAAAACTTTGCCCTAGCTGGTTTGGCTCAGCGGATAGAGCGTCAGCCTGTGGACTAAAGGGTCCCAGGTTTGATTCCAGCCAAGGGCACATGTCTGGGCTGTGGGCTTGATCCCCCACTCCCACTCCCGCCAGACGTGCAGAAGGCAGCCAATCAATGAATCTCTCTCATCCTTGATGTTTCTATCTCTCTCTCCACCCCCCCTTCCTCTCTGAAATCAATTTAAAAAAATTAAAAAGGCAAAACTTTGTTATTCAGCTTCGACAGGCCAAAAAGAATACTAGATCAAAGTCCATTTTTGAAAGGGGCATGGAGATAGGAATCAAAACAATTCAAGTAAATAAAACTGAACCACTGAGGTCCAGCTTCATCAGTGCTGTGTCACAGTACATTCAAGAAAAAATAAAAACCAAAATCTGTCCTGGAAATGAAAGCCAGTTTACAAATAAGTACCACTCAGCAAGAACGGGAAATTTTTGAAGTGCAGGCAGTTCTCCTATACCAGAGCTCATCATTGCTTTTCACTCAACCTCATTTCTGGTTTCAGTGATTTAAAAAGAAACATCTATACAGTTAAGCCCAGTCCATGTACAGTAGCTCCTGGCAGATATGATGTCTTGACGCATAGCAATATATGTAAACTGAAATATCAGAAGAAACAGCACACATAAGTCAAAAGTCCTTAGCCAAAGCAGGGCATAAAGCTTTGCAGAGTGAGCGATGCATTTCCTGAATGGTGCTTTGTGTGCAACTGCTTCCAAATCGAGCTCCATATTTTGAAATCCCCTCCTCCTGGTGTGGAAGATGTTAAATCTCTCTACCACTTTCTCCTGCCTAAAGAGTAAGGTGACAGAATGGCTACTATCAACAGATCAATAAATGACAAGTGCTGGCAAGGACGTGGAGAAAAGGGAACCCTCGCTCGCTGCTGGTGGGAATGCAGACTGCTCCAGCCACTGTGGAAAATAGTATGGAGTTTCCTCAAAAAACTAAAAATTGAACCGCATTTGACCCAGTGATCCCACTTCTGGGAATATTTCCTAAGAAACCCAAAACACCAATCAGAAAGGATATATGCATCCCTATGTTCAGAGCAGCACAATTTACAATAGCTAAGATCTGGAAACAGCCCAAGTGCCCATCGGTAGAGGAGTGGATAAAAAAGTTGTGGTACATTTACACCATGGAATATTACGCACCTGTAAATACAAAAACAAAAGGATCTCTTAACCTTTGAGACAGCACGGAGGGACTGGAGAGTGTCATGCTAAGCGAAATAACCCAGGCAGAGAAAGACAAGTATCACAAGATCTCATTCATATGTGGTTTTTAATGAACAAAATAAACTGATGAACAAAACAGATCCAGAGACACAGAGGCATAGAACTGACTGAGGATTCTGAGGGAAGAGGGGAAGATTGGAAGAAATTAACCAAAGAACTTATATGCATGTATGCATAACCCAGGGACACAAACAATAGAAGGCCTGGAGGGGGGCGGGAGAGGGGTGGAGGAGTTAATGGGGGGAAAGGGGATATCTGTAATACTTTCAACAATAAAGTTTGTGGTGTTTTTTTTTAAAGAAAAAAACATAGATTTACAGGCAATAGGCTGGGATGGAGGATATGGTCTCTTCCCATTCCTTTGCAGGGGGACAAGACCCAATGTGAGGCAGCCAGTTCCACTCTGACTCATGACAACATACACGCAGGAAATAAGAACTCATCCCCATCTCTCCCCTCCCTAAAGAAGCAAAGGGCGCAAAGATCAGCAACACCGCCGCCAGAACCACCAAATGGAAACAGCCGGGGGCCGCCCGCCTCTCCCAGGCGCCTGCCGGGCGGCGGGCACGGGGCGCAGGGCAGCTGGTCCCTCCCGCCCCGGACAGGCGCGGCCAGCCCCGCACGGGTCCACGCTGCCCCGCGGCCAGGACGAGAGAGGAGGGGAGCGGTGGAGGACCGCCGCGGCGCCGCTCCGGCCGTCTCCCCGGCGCAGCGCTGCCCCAACACCCCACCGACGCCCGCACCTGAGGCGGCAGCCCGGGACCCGGCGGGAGTGCGCGGAGCGACGCGGTCCAGACAAAGTTACTCACTGGGGAAGCGCGGCTGTCCCGGGCGCGCACCGGCTCCGGGCGCCGCAGCCCAGAGCCCGCTCCGCTCTCCGCCCGCTGAGGGAGCGGGAGCGAGGCGGCCTCCGCTCGGCCGGGAAGCGCTGCCGCCACCGCCGCCGCGGCCGCTGCAGATTTCCTGGCAAGAAGCAAACTCTGGCTAAGACTTCACTTCTCAACCGCCCCTGCTGCCTTCCCAGGGGAAAACGCCAGGGCCCCGCCGCCCAACCCGACACGCACCTGGACCAATTGGCGGCAGAACAGGGCGGGAGAGGGCGGGACACGGAAAGGATCCGCCTATCCGAGGGCTCAGGGGGCGGGTCCGGCCAGAGCCGTCACTCCCGAGTTAGAGTGAGCCCGCTGCGCCCCGCGCCGCCTACCCTCCCCCACCCGCTCTCGCCCGGGTTCTCCGGATTACCTGGCTTAAGACGGGCTCGGGACTATCCGAGGCCGCGAGGGGCACTGGGTAGCGCGGGGAGGCAGTGACTGGGGGCATTCAGGAAGAACAGGTGGCATAGGGAGCAAGAACGTAGGTGTGCTGGGCGAAAGGACAGCTGGGGTAGTGTGGTAGGGACAGGGGTTGGCCGGAAGCAGGAGGAGGGCGAGGGGGGCAGGAGAGCCGGGAAGGGAAGACTGTTCGTGAAGAATAACCGAGGGGACGGAGAGCGAGTCTGGCTGGAAAGGCTGCCGAGGCGGGGGAGGGGGAACCTGAGAACAAAGGTGAAGAGGTTGAAGAAGCCAAAAGGGGAAAGGGGAAAGGAAGTCCCAGGCGAGGGAGCACGTACTCCAGGGGTCGAACAGATCCTAGGGGAGAAAGCAGGGGAGGGGAAAGTTTCCTTCCAAACTCTCACTTTTCCCCCAAAAGAGCAAGACAGACGCTTGTCCTTTGACCCAGCTGAGCTGTGTGAAGGTCCTCGGTCGGACAACCACCGTCTTGACCCTACCCTATTCTATTGGGAAATTTATTAAGATGTGTTATCAGCTATAGTTTAAGCCTGACGTTCCATGAAAGCTCCCCAAGGGCTGGGGTCCTGCGCGAGCGTAACACCGTCCCCCGTGGGTGCAGCAGCGAGTCCAAAGGAAGCCGGATTTGGGCCCTAAGTGGGAAGGTGATTTGGGGGAGGCAGGCGGGCCGCGCCCCCTTCGCCCACACCTGGGATAAGGCGCCCGGCGCTGAGCTCCAGCGCCCACAGCGCCGTCTCGGCCTCGGGTGGGGCGGTAGCCCGACCCCACCTGCCCCGCTAGCTCTGCGGCTCGACTCGCTTCCAGAAGCAAAAGGACCCGCTGGGGCCCGGCCCCGCCTCCTCGCGCCGCGGGCGGGTGTGGGCGGGGCCTGGGGCGCCGCGGCGGCTCCTCCCCCCTCCTTCCGCCTTCCGCTCCTCCGTCGGTCGGTTGTTCCTTCCTTCCTGCTTCTCTCGCACGCTTCGCGATATGGGGCAGAGCGTCCTGACCGCCAGCTGCACCTGAAGATCCCGGAAGCCGTTCCCGCGATGGAAGAGGACCAAGAGCTGGAGAGGTAACGGCCGAGGAGGCGGGCGGGCGGGCGGAGGGGGCGGGCGGGAGGAGCGGGCCGCTCCCGGCCCCGGCGCCAGCGACCGAGGAGGGGCCCGCGGCCGGCCGGGGCCTCGGCCTCTGCGTATAGGCCCGACTGGGAAGGCCGGGGACGAGAGAGGGAGGAATGGGCGCCTGGGCGGGAGCGAGGGCTCCGGTTGGGAAAAGAGGAGAGGAGTCAGGCATGTGTTTGAATAGAAACGCTCAGAACACTAGAGACGAAGGAGGGAAGGCAAGTTGTGAGAAATCCCCAGGCTGCCCGTCCCCGGTTAGGACAGCCGGGGTCAATCGGCCAACGTGTGAAATCACACGCCGGGCCTCCGTCCCGGTGCCGTGGCCCAGCTCCCTCCTCTGCTCCGAGTTCTCTTTCTCCCTCCCTCCTGCCTCATGGACTCTTCTCAGACCTCCCGAGCTAGTTTCCTTACGTCCTCCAAATGGAAGCCACAGTTAGGCCTGCAGGGTCATCATCTGTAGCCTCTAATCTTATAATAATCTGTGCTCCTCTGCGCCTTCCAACTCCCTTTTCGTGCTCTTGCAAGGCTACCCTATTCTAAACCTATCCTTTCTTGTGATTCTAGCAACAGAATATTTTAGCAAACATTTAAGTTTGTGTTTTAAGAAAACTCCCCTGTGGCCATGTAGATGGTCAAATGGAGTAGGGAGAAACTGGAGGCAATAAATTAGGTATTTATTGATAGAATATGTGGAGGCAGGAAAATAAAGGGCTAATGTTAATAGTTTTATGTAGTTGGAGTGCATCGCGTATTAATGTGTTACAATTGTGATATAGTAAATGAAAAAAAAAGCTAGTTACAAAACTATATTCAGTATGATCTCATTTTTATAAAAAATATGTATGTAGAAAAATGTCTGGATTGAAGACCTCAATGGCTGAAGGCGAGAGGAAGACAGCTCTGGAAATGGTCCAGGCAGCTGGAACAGATAGACACTGTGTGACATTTGTTTTGCACGAGGAGGACCATACCCTAGGAAATTCTCTTCGTTACATGATCATGAAGAACCCGGAAGTGGAATTTTGTGGTTACACTACAACCCATCCTTCAGAGAGTAAAATTAATTTACGAATTCAGACTCGAGGTGCTCTTCCAGCTGTTGAGCCATTTCAGAGAGGCCTGAATGAGCTCATGAATGTCTGCCAACATGTGCTTGACAAGTTTGAGGCCAGCATAAAGGAATATAAGGACCAAAAAGCAAGCAGAAATGAATCCACATTCTAGTCCCTGTGCACTATAGAGGGAGGAACATCCTCTGGGATATTTTCTTCGTGATCTTGCAAAACCCAGAAATAGAAGTTTATGATTACAACATGATCTGCTCTTCAGAAAGGTGTGATTCTAGCTATTAACTCATTACAGCTGTGGGAATCCCTGCAAGAACCTTTGTATTCTAATAAATTCCCTCTTTAAACTAATTTGAGTGGTTTCTGTTCCTTGGTCCTCAAGGTTGACTATTTTGGGGGTTTTTGTTTATTAATTGAGCCAACATGGAAAGTGATGAAACTATGAGAAAAGCAGGGGCCTAAACAAGGACTTTTTAAAAAGGGAATTAAAAGAAATAAGCATTCATGGCTGTGATTGGGGGAGAGGGAGATGTGCAGTAAAGCATGACCCCAGATAGACTAATTTTTTTTGGGGGGGCGGGCAGTCTGGGAGGGGGAAAGCAGGAAAGAAAGATGGAAGTGGGGGGGGGAACTTGGCTTCTTGCTTCATGTATTTTAGTAATTCATAAGAAAATTCTTACTTTGCTGTGATTGGTAGATTGGGTAAGGGTGAGGAATAATTTGAAAAAACTGAGAATTCTGGTTTCACATAGAATTGAATTTTAGGTAGTATCAAGCTCCATCATTATATTTATAAGATAGATACCAGTTTGCTGCTTTATTTTGACCTAAGTAGTTCAAGAGAGTTTAATTCTATTAGAGAGGGAGGTTACTGGGATGACCAGATAACTTTTTCAGTCCTTGGGTATCTTAAGAATAGCCCATGGTTACATAAAAGAAGCAGTATTTGAAAGAAAGTAAGGACAGGAAGAAAGAAAATTCCATGTGGCCAAAATGATTTTTTTAAAAATAAGATATTAGTGAATCACATCTAAGAGCTGTCCTATTTATCTCTTCAAACTTGATTCATATCTATCCTATACCAACTTGATTCATAATTTACCCTAAATGTCTGTCAACCTTTGAACCTGAGCACCCCAAACCCCAGTACTCTCAGCATTGTTCCCTCTTCCTGGAGGATTCTTACTTCTGCCATACTGTAGTGTAGGTAAGAACTTAGATGTAAGACTCCCCATCCTAGTTTGGGTACTTGCCTGTGCTTTCATTATACTCTGTTTCCTGGTCTTGGATTTACTATGTGATTGTTAGTGCTTATGTTGTCTACCATTATACCAACTTGTAGCACAATGCCTAATAGGTAGTGGACCATTAGTAAATACCAGATGAATTCATGTATATGTAGCCTTTTATTCACTCATATCAGACCTCTTCTACTGACCTGCAACAGAATCTGCATTTTCTATATGCAACTTCTTTAGATAAATATATTTTGTTTTTATTGATCACCTAGCATATACCAGGTCCTAGGATAGATATGCTAGTGGATGAGACACAGGTCTTATGAAGTATACATTATAAAAGGAGTAAAAAAATTTTACATTGTATTTGTGGGGGCAGGGGGGGGAGGGGGACAAAGAGAACATGAGAGGAGATTCTACTTTAGGTGTGGAAGTCAGTGAAGATTTTCCAGAAATTACAGAACAGAAGGAACTAGCTGTGCAAAAAGGAGAGAAAATGCATTCTGGGGGAATAGTATGTGCAAAAGTCCAGAAGCTGAAAACTGGTGTTTTGAGGGGTTAAATGTATTGAAAGAAGATTTATATATCTGTAGCGTGGTAAGTAAGGAGGACAAGGGCCTATCCTATGGGTTCAATGGGAAGAAGGGCTGGGGTAGTAAGGATTTGGGTGTTAAGTACAACAGGAATGACCTCTGAATTCTTTGATTACAAAGTGGGGAAATGAATTTGTAGAGAGGCCAGAGTAGAAGCAGAAACTTTGGTGTGGCCTGGAAGGGCAGTAACCTAGTGATAGAGAAAAGAGGGTAGATTGGAGATGTATTTTTGAACCAAATTTGTACAGAATTGGTAGACCTCAGGAATTGGATGTAGAAAGATGACTTCTACCTAGATTTGGGGCCAAATTACTGAAATGGTTCGGAGGTGGAGAGGATGATTAAACTCAAAAGTTCCATTCTGAACATGGTAGATAGTAGATACATGAGTTAGAAGCTGTGAAAGAGATCTAATGAAGCTAGAGATTTACCTAGTGAGTTCTTGCCATAAAGATGATACAAATCCATAAAAGCTTGAGTGTGTGAAGAAGAGGGCCCAAGCCCAAGCCCTGGGCATGCTTGGCGTTTAAAATTTGGGTAAAAAAGGAACAGCCAGTGAGGTAGCAGGAAATTCTGTAGAAAGTGGAGTTGCGGAATCCAAGGCTTCCACAAGGGATATTGATGTTGAATGAGTTGAACATGAGGACGGAAAACATGTTTATTGAATTTAACAGGGAGGTTGGTGAGCAGTGGGCAGCATTATTTTAGTGCCTAAGAAGGCTAGACATTAATACTCATTGTACAGAAGAAGGACTTCATTTGGGTTTTCCAGTAAAGAAAATATACCACAGTACATTGGGGAGCTATATTTAAGTGGCGGCAGGGATGAGGAAAGATAAAGGTCATGGGGTAAAGATAGAGAGTATTTTCCTAGGGTGATAGTAAGAGATAATTATTAAAATGATTACATACCAAAGGCTTTTAGTATATAACTAGAGGCCCAGTGCACGAAATTTGTTCCCGGGGGGGGGGGTGGTCCTCAGCCTGGCTTGCGCCCTCTCGCAGTCTGGGAGCCCTTGGGGGATGTCCGACTGATGGCTTAGGCCTGCTCTGGGCTTAAGCTGTCAGTCAGATATCCTTTGTGCTGCCACAGAGACGGGAGGGACTCCTCCCACGGCTGCTGTGCTCGCCAGCCATGAGCCTGGCTTCTGGCTGAGCGGCACTCCCTCTGTGGGAGCGCACTAACCACCAGGGCAGCTCCTGTATTGAGCGTCTGCCCCTTGGTGGTTAGTGCGTGTCATAGCAACCAGTCGTTCTGCTGTTTGGTCAATTTGCATATTAGCCTTTTGTTATATAGGATAATAAAAGGCTAAGCGACTGCCCAACCAGCCGGTAGGTATGACGCCTACTGACCACCAGAGGGCAAACGCTCAACACAGGAACTGCTGAGCTGTGGTGGTGACTTCACAGCAGTGGTTTTCAGGTGATGCACTCCAGAACCAGAGAGGAGAGAGCCTGATTCCTCACACTTCTATTATAGAGAAAGGGCGAATAGTGATATTAAAATATTTCTTCTAATTAATTTACTTTCAGTATACATGAATCCATGCACTGGGCCACTAGTATATAATAATTTGCTTACCTAGCACTTTCCATTTTTCAAAACACTTTACAAATTATAAATTGCATATAGCTATAATATCTAAATGCTCTAATTAGTTGGTATAACACACAGGTGCCTACAGAATCTCTGTAGAGATAAAGTGTCTACATAAAAAGTCCATTCAGTACCATTCTGACCCAAAGAGTGTCTTGTATTTCAGGAAATATGAAACCATATCAAGTTCTATGGCCCACCATTTTGTTTCCCTTGAACAAGTTATTAAGATTGTAGCTATGCCCTGGCCAGTTTTTCTCAGTGGTTAGCGCATCAGGCAGTGGACAGAAGGATTGCAGGTTCGATTCCTGGTCCAGGGCGTGCATACCATACCTATACCCGTATTGTGGATTTGTTCCCCACACTGGTTGGAGCATGTTCAGGAGGCAACCAATCAATGTGTCTGTCTCACATCGATGTTTCTCAATCTCTTTCTCCCTTCCACGCTCTAAAAATCAATGGAAAAAATATCCTTGAGAGAAGATTTAAAAAAAGAGAGATTGTAGTTAGTCTCCAGATCGCTAGACAAAAGTCATCAATTTCGGTTAGCATAATTTTAGAATCAAAGATAATCTTTGTAATATCCCTCCAACTGGGCTCCTAGGAAGTTTACTCGAGTCCACTAGTGTACTTTCAAATACTTATAAAGATCCCAAATCTTTTGAGCTCAAGTTTTTAATGTTGTTTTGTTTGTTTGCTATTTGAAACTTTACAAACTATCCCAGTTTGGTTAATGTATGGTTTGTATTTTTTTTCCATCATGAAATTTCTTCCAAACCTAAATTAGTGGATCTCTATGCAACAAATATGTACATAGTCATGGCACAGTCCTGAGAAATGGTGCAGATAAGAGATATGAGTCTGTTTTAAAAAGCTCTGTGTGGTTTTGCAGAGAAGACAGTTGTACATATGAAAAAGAAAACAGATTGCATTTATGATGAAGTGCTCTAATGTTCAGTGTAGAGTATTATGTGCTGAACATAGAATGGTATCAGTGAGAGACACTATTGAAGCAGTGATTGTTTCATGAGTACCCCCTCAGCCAGCCACTGTGCTAGGCACTGGAGATAGTTTCCTGTCTCCCAGTGAAAATGAGCCATTAAAGACTCTTGAGCTAGAGAATGCCATAAAGGTTTTGTTTTTCACCCCACGCCTGTACATAATGGATGAGTAAAAGGAAACATTGGGAGACAGCAGTGAGTTGGGCATATGTAACAGTCCAAATGTAATATAAGGAGGCCGAGTTATAGGAATGGAAGTAAAAGGATGAAGACCAGAAAGCTAAAAAAGAATTAAAATAACTTGGAGACAGATTCTGTATAGGGTTGAAAATTCTGTATAGGGTTGAAAATGGCCTCATACCCATGTCATTGACCCCTTTATTTTCCTACCACCCCCTCAAGACCCAAACCAGAATGCAGGATAGACCATCTCGTTCCCAGCCTGTCCTTGCTAATGGAAGCAACCACTCTTACCTCCTTCCCTCACCCTTGTTAGAAGAATTTACATCTTAGACAAGAACTTTAATCCAGGACTACAGATGTGAAGATTGGGGATAGGAGGAGGCAGGGCAGTAAGCTGACAGACTCTTAGAGCTGTCTGCCTTCACCAAGTTGCTCTTCTCAGAACATTTCATTCATCCTATTCAATCCATAAATATTAGTGAGTACATATATATTCAGGCACATTTAGGAATGTAGCAAGGAACAAGTTGCCTACATGCAGTTTATTTTCTAATATAAATAAGTGCATAAATATATAATGTAATTTAAGGTAGTGGTATAAATGGGAAGTAAAAGAATGATGGGGGTGAGAGGGCACTGAGAGACTTGAGTAGTTAAGGAAGGCCTTTCTGAAGAGGTGACATTTGAACAGAAATAACAGAGAAAGACCAAGCATAAAGAAGAATATGCTCAGAATCTT